AAGATAGGACAGAAAATGACTTCTATACTTTTAAAATTTGCCCAAAATTTAGGAGGTCTTTAGACCAAGCCAACTATACAAAAAAAAAAAAAAAAAAATGATAAATATAATAATTAGCAATTTTATTTATAGTGTTTTTATTTATGCTTTTATTTGTGTCATTTTTGACTCAATGGCAGCAAATTTGACATAATAGTTTTAGAAATTTGGTGACATTCCATCAAACAACATTGTTCTATGATTCTTTTATTATGAACAAATACTTGATTATAAAATCTTTCTATAGTAAGGGTACCGGCTGCAACTTTTGATAATGGTTGCTACCACTTTTGCATCATATAAAAATGATTGCAACTGCTGGTTGCAACAGCCTTTATGACCATTTTGTTTCCTTTTTTGGGTTACAACATGGAACACTAATTCTATAGCCATTTGGTAGATGCATTTGATTTGATATCTTCCACCAGGTTGGATGATGTTGGTGACACAACAAAAGACATGAAAGATAATTATGATTCAATTCAAGAGTATCATTATGCTTACAACCTTATTATTCCATATATAGAATGGACATTATACATGTTAACCATTTAATGGCAAATAAATAATTAAGGCTCTGAACAAATTGAATCAAGTCAAATTTTAAAGTGATTTGACTCATTAATAGGGTTTTTATTTGAATAAGATTTATTCAAATGATTTGTTTTATTCATAACAATGATGAATGGTGATAATTGCATTGACTTTTCAATTACTTCTTTGACAGGCACAGTGCAATGTGTTCAATGAAGAACAAGAAGTGAAGCATGGAACCATTCCACAGTTGTATATGGAAAAACCAATGCAATTATTCCACTAGGTAAATAGTTTTTTTGACTTTTGAAACCATTTATTTCTAAAGGCAATTCTTAAAATTATGCAGAATTCAAATTATTTCATATGTATATATTTGAATTAAATTTGAACCAAGTCAAATCAAATCATTTATAGGTTCGCATTTCATTGATTCATCCTGGAGCCTTTTAAATAACCTTTAAAGATAAATTTTTGAAAGTTGTAAAAAAATTGTTGAATTATAAGAAAAAAAAAGGAAGTTTACAATATTTAGTTTGGTTTGCTCTGAGACTACTAATTGGTTGTATTGTAAGTATTACTGTATTATAAGACTTTGCTTGAAACAACTAAAGAATTTCGTTACTATTGTAAGATGGATAGGCTCTTAAAAACCAGATTTATATATTATTTTGTCAGGTTTAAGACAATATATCTAGTCCAAAGACTATACTGGAATGAAAAAATGGTAATTTGTATATTAAATAGCATACTTACTTATTAGTATTAGATAAAAATGATTACAGAAGAAGGGAGTGATATTTGTACAACCTACAGTTCTTAGAGTTGCATTCCATACTTGCAATTCACTTATAATCCAAGGGATAGATTATTTTCTAAAGAGGAACAAAGCTATATCATACTAGAATCTTGTTTATGCCATTGATAAAAAATTATAACATGTTTGTAATGCAATTAAGACATTAATCAAATATTTTTTGCATCAAATCCACATCCTCCCAATCATTTAGGGTACAAGCCAAAGTTTTAAATTCTTCCTTATTTAACCCAGAAAATTTTTTTATTTAGAATTAGTGTTCCATGTTGCAATCCAAAAAAGGAAACAAAATGGTTGTAAAGGTGGTTGAAACCAGCGGTTGCAATCATTTTTATATGATGCAAAGGTGGTAGCAACCATCATCAAAAGTTGCAGCTGGTATCCTTATTCAGAATTCCTAGTTCTTCCCAAGCATCATCATTTAGATTGATTTTTTAAGTGATTCATCTTTCATGATCATTTTTTGGACATTTTTTGCAAGTATCCATTTCCAATTCTTTATTTTTTGGAATACCTGGGCCATAAATAAATAGTTAATACTTTCAATTTGAATTGAACATGATCTAATTTCAATGTCTAATGATAATACTTGAACAATGTCATTTGACTCAAATCCTAATGCTTTAACCCCAAAAATTCTTGTTGAGCTTTGGAAATTTTTTTGATATAAATTGGAAACAGCATCAGTTGGATTACTTTCAATTTCACTTGGAATTTTATCACGTTGACAGCGATGTCCTGGATGAAGTGCATTGAGCTTGTTATCTTTTATAACATCTAATATAAATTTTTATTATTAAGATATAAATTGTGCTTTCATTCCAACAGAGTGGATTCCAGAAAACAAATATTGTTTAAGTTTTCCAGGCTTTTGCATTTACTCCATAATGTAAATCAAGATCAATAATTGTACAGATAAATTATTCATGGTTGAAATAAGATTTTTTAGAGTTTAAAAAAAGTAATAGAATATTATAATGTTAATATCCCGGATCTACATACAGTATATCTAATTAATGCTTCACTTTGAAACTGTTGATAATAATAATGATAATAAGTCCCGTGAAGCTTGAGAATTCAAAACATTAAATAACCATTTATATATATAAAAGTCAAAAAAAAAAATCGAAATTATTCATGACTTATGAATATTTATATTTGTTTACAGTAAATAAGCATAATAAAAATAATCATATCACATGAGAACTCCCATATAACATCAGTATACAAAAACAAGCCGTACTTCTGGTTTATCATTGTACAAGAAACAAGTTTTTCAGAAGGTTAAATATCTGCATTTGTATCCGTTTGAGGTCTTATCAGCTCTTGCAGGGCAGATGCATTAATCACATATTCTCCCAAGATTTCTTCTAATTTTAACATCCTACTTTCCACTCGCTCCACCCTTTCTTCAGTAAGAATTGGTTGTTTTTGTTCTTTAAATGTTGAGACGAATGGAAAGTTTTTGAAGTCTGCTTCGTGTGCTATTTCCGATTTTGCCACTTTATGCATTAGGCCCCTTTTAGAAAAGTTTCTTGTCAAAATTAGCTAGATATCTAGGAAAATTGAACAAAGAAAGTAAACGCTTTCTGAACTTACCAAGGATCAATCCTTGGTTGTCCAAAAAACAACGTATAAATCCCACCAATCAATCCTATCAAAAATAGTAATCCAAAATCGATTAAATTGATTGAATGAAGAGGCACTCATCAAATATTTAATATCACCTTTTTAACTTACCAACAGCACCACCAGCAACTCCCAGAGCCCCAAGAACCGTATATGAACTAGTGAACAGGATAATGAAAAAAATAGAGATTATAATAAAATTATATAGAAATCAGAATTTCAAATTTTGAAATGGGTCATCAGATTTACCGTTTTTCTGATTGCAACTCGTGGAGAAAACTGCCTGGAGCAATATTAAAGTGTCCAGTAAAGGGGAAGCTGTCATTTGGATGCATTTGAAAGTATTTCGACACAGTAGTAAAGTAAGGTGTACTATGATAATTAGAAGTTAGGCCGAGGATTGTGTTGATATCGTTAGGTAAAGTGAACAATGTAGTTTTCTTAAATAATACCTGAATATTAAGTGTAGATTAAATTTAGTAATAATCGCCTATGGAAAGACAACTAGTGGATTAGAACAACTGACTGACCAGAGCCGATACATTTTGGATGCCCGCGAACGTATTCATTTGTCGATCAAATCGTTTTTTTACTGGATTCAGTGTTGAAAATTCGGTGCGGGGAATGCGGGGGTGTAACATTACACACCAATCAACCTTTTAATTTTTGGAGATAGTTTCTAAATTTGTACTGGTTACACAACGAAATTTCAACACTGACTGGATTTGTCAGCGATAAATCCTTAAAACATAATCGATTGATTATATATTACATCATGTAATATTTCATGACACAAGAGATGAAGTACATTAATTACCTTTATCCAATATTTTGCCTGCAATAGTTGCCACGGATAAAACTTTTTCAACAACGGCGGAAATGTTAAGGATCTCAAAATAAAAGTCAATGCTTGCTACTGACAATGACTCTTCAGAGGGGTTTTCTGGGTTGCCGAAAAAATAACTACTATTGGCCCGAAGAGTATAGCATTCTTTCTTTTCAGATTCAAATATTTTGCTTTCCGGGCTACAGCTGTCAGTAGAGTTTTCTTTATTACTCCAATTGAAAACGCATTTAGATATTTTGACATCACTGTAATAACTACAGAGTTCAATTTCTTTGAGAATATGAATATAAATAAAAAATCAGTTAGTATTAGATTGAAAAATTTAACACCTCGCCAACACACCAGGAATGCTGAGTCTGTCCAAATACTCATAAGATATTTGTATCAATGGCTTATCATTGACAATTCGATATATAAGATATGCCAGGTAGCTCATATAAAGAAGAATTACGATAATGGCAGTCCCCCATCTTAAACACTGAAATTTCTTTGATTCCGGGAACTATAAATTAATTATATATATTTAAAGGTGAGACTTTAAATAAGTGTTTTTGAATATAAATCAACTATTTAGGGCTCTTAACCATTTTTCGGCTGGATCCAAAAATGAAAAGCATTTTTAGAGTGTAATTAATCAGCTTTGAATATTGCTAGAACTAGATTATTTTAACTTTTTAAAAGAATATGAATATGAAGGCATTTATTTTTACCAACTCAGATATAAATCATTTATTTGATAAGGAGGATAAAATAGGAACATTATCAATCATTCGTTCCATGTAGAAATGCAATTTTTATTAATTTATATATATTATTTATATTATTTATGTTGCAGAACTTCTTTTTAAAGTTCAAATAATAAACTAATTTCGAGTTAAATAAAATATCTAATATTAATATTAATATTAATATATATAAAAAAAGGAATTTTATTTCTGGTGTGTAATAATTATCAATTCATTTTTATCATGAAAAAGAAAAACTCGTATTAAGAATAGCGAATTTTAGAAAAATTGAATGGATCAATGAATAGTTTGGGTTATTTGATTTACGAAACCTGTTAAACTTGTTATTAGATGAGAATTGGCAATAATTACAATAATGATAATAAATTACCATTTAAAGAAACCTGCATAGAAAAAAAAATTTGGGGCGAGATGAAATTCTGATTGCAAAAAAAAAATGCAATTCCACCGCCAATAAAAGAAATTCAGTTGCCTTTATTGGTATGATTCATCAGGAACCGCACCCATATTTAAGTAAGGCTTCATGTTTTTAAAAAATGGGCTAGAAAGGAAATTTGTTTGTTAAATTAATTGGTAATCATCTAAATAACAGCCCTCATTGCCTTCACTTTCTCCTTTTCATCATCAAATTGTATCAAATTATCTAATCCTAAAAATTTTTTTTTAATGATAATTTTAAAACCTCAAATATTGACAGCAAGATCAAGAACACCATGACAACAATAATGATCAGAATTTTAAAAGCAATCGCTGTAAAAACGTGTGTTCCGGAGATAAATAATGATTTAATATTGCAATGATACAAGGATAGAAATTTTATAAATGTTATGACCGAAATTTACTTGATTAATTAAATTTGTATAGAAACTAATTATTATTATTATTATGAAATCAATATGTTAGTTAATTCAAGTCATGACAAATGTAAAAAGGATCATAGATAGTATAGCCGGCAAACATAAAGTAAATGTAGGAAGAACAAGGCATGTGGTAGTTACATTTTGGAAATTGGACAAGGGAAAAAAATTACAAGGGTAAGTTACCACCATGAGAGAGGAGGATTGTTAACGATATTGTTTGATAAATTAGTAGATTACATGTATTACCTTCAGATAATTAGACCAGTAGTTATTATTTTAGCGTTATTATCATATTTATGACAAACAGGTTTTTAAAACTGATGGGTTCCCTTCAGAGATTACAGTCAGAACTCGTTAAGCCGAAGTTAATGTTTTCATTTTAGTTCTTAATTTTCAACATGTCAAATGTTCTATCTAATTTTTAATTCAAAATTTTTCTTGTTTTGTCACGCATACGTCAAACGTTTTAAAATTTTGTTGTCATGTATACGCACCTCATAGGCAGAAGTTTGTCTGATTGGCTAATTTTGCCGATCAAATTGCATATTATTTATATAGTTTAATTCGTGATACGTGAAACAACTGCAATAATTTCATAATAGAATTTGGCGCAAATTTTCGCAGATCACTAATTGAAATTTTCCGGAACCCATACTTCATTCCTAA